AAGCCAAAAATGGAGGACATACTTTTCTACAAAGATCTGTACGATCCTGTAGAAAAGGGAGACAACAAGCCAGAAGACGTGAAGGATGACGATTGGAAAAAATTACACAGGAAGGCTGTCAGTTTAACAGTGGGTGGATATCAGCATATTCCACCATGTTGCCACAGAGTCGAAAGCCCATACTCTGTGGAACAAAATTGAACAGATGTACCAGAGGAAGACTGCACAGAATAAAGCTTTCGTCATTAGAAAGCTTGTAAATTTAAAATATCGGGATGGAAGATCAGTTGCAGAACACTTGAATGAGTTTCAAGACATGGTGAACCAACTTGTTACCATGGAAATGAAACTTGATGAAGAGCTGCAGGCGCTGTTACTTTTGAGTTCTTTACCGGATAGCTGGGAGACTCTGATGGTCTCGTTGAGCAACTCTTCCCCTGAAGGAAAACTGACTTTGACCCAAGTTAAAGACAGTATGTTTAATGAAGAAACAGGAAGAAAAGACTCTGGGGCAAGAAATCCCCAGGCCCTGGTCACAGAAACCAGGGGGAGAAGCAAAAGCAGAGGCCGGAATAACAAATCCAGAGATAGATCACAATCTCAACCTAGGAGAAAGTTCAAGTGTTATCACTGCGGTGAAGAAGGGCATATCAAAAGAAACTGCAAAGCCTGGAAGAACAGAGGTTGGAGAAACAACAAATCAGAGAACGATGAAAATACCGCAACCCCTGTGATTAATGGGGAAGTGGTGTTGCTCTATGTTGAAGAAGAAGAGTGTCACGTTGCAGATTCATGTGTTGAATGGGACATTGACTCAGCAGCATCATACCATGCAACATCTCACAAGGAATTCTTTTCTCTATACAAAGAAGGAGACTTTGGTAGAGTAACGATGGGCAACAACAGCGTTGAAAATATTGTGGGAGTTGGTGATGTGTGCATTCAAACTGATATTGGGTGCACAATAACACTAAAGGATGTACGACATATACCAGACTTACGTCTGAATCTGATCTTTGTGCATGAATTGGATCTAGCAGGCTATATTAACAATTTTGGTAATGGCACGTGGAGACTTACCAAAGGATCATTGTTAGCTGCTAGAGGTACAATGAGATCGACACTGTACAGAACTCAAGTGAAGCTGATCAAGGGTGGATTGAATGCAGTCGAGGATGATGCTTCACCAAATTTGTGGCACAAAAGATTGGCTCATATTGGTGAAAAAGGATTACAGATTTTGGCAAGAAAGTCCCTCATCCCATTTGCCAAAGATTCAAAACTGAATCCTTGTGATTATTGTCTCTTTGGGAAGCATCATAGAGTGTCTTTCAGCAAAACCTCGAAGCTGAAAGAGAATGTGTTGGCGATGGTGTATTCTGATGTATGTGGACCCATGGAAGTGGAGAGTCTCGGTGGTAGCAGATATTTCGTGACGTTTATTGATGATGCTTCACGAAAATTGTGGGTGTATTTCTTGAGAACGAAGGGTGAAGTTTTTCAATACTTCAAAAGGTTTCATGCTATAGTGGAGAGACAGACTGGTAAACCTTTGAAGTGTCTTCGCTCAGATAATGGGGGGGAGTATACTTCCCATGAATTTAAGAACTATTGTGTTGATCATGGTATCTGACCGCGCGTCGCAACGCGGCAAAATTAATATTTATAAATTCCTTATTCGACTTCTACCAACTAGTAGTAGTGGCGAGCAAGGGTCGAACCCACAGGGAGTGTGAATCAAATTGTGATATTTTTGTATTAATTGAAATTATAAAAGCAATAAAAAAGGGGGATTGAGATTTAACAGCTAAACTAACTAAATAAAATCTAAACAATGAAAATAAAAAAATAAAATAAAATAAATAAGAGAAATTTCTAGTTCACGGTTCCGTCTACACCCTCGACTGATTCGTCTAATCAACTTTGGTATCAAATCTCGCTATCTTATGAAATTACTAGCCCTAGGCAACGACACGGTCTGTTACCCAAATTTTTCCTTAAGTTTAATTTAACCGTGAGACGCTCAACAATTAAACCTGACTTCTTGTACAGTCTAGAGGACGCTTCTTAGATTTAATACAATCAGCCGCTTTACGTGTTAGAAAAATAGGCTAGACTAAGTAGTGACGCATTCGTTCACTTAAATAGGCCGTGTTATCCCCGGTAGTTACCATCTTCCGGATACCACTTGCGAATTAAGCACATCAACAATTACGGATTGAAGGCCTAATTTAGGTGTAGATATGTAGAGCCTAATCTAGGTGATCAATCTAAATTCAACTCAACACATTATGGTGAATTATTCAAAATAACACAAACAATTCCAAAAAGATATTAAAATCATCAACCACGAATCAATTAAACATCATCAAGTACATAGGGTTCGACATCCCCGGAACTAGAAATATAAACTACTCTAACATTATAAATAAAAAGAAAAAAATAAATAAAAGAGAGAGATTAATTAACTCCCTCGTGTACGGGTGCGGCCTCTCTCCGCGATTAGTTTGGTTCTCGTTCTCTATTCCTGCTGCTCTTTTCCTTTCTCTGTTCCGTGAATTATTTTCTTCCAGTGCGTGGCGGCTCCTTTCTCCGTATCCATCCCTTATATGTGTGTGGCGGTTTGAATATATATTGCTCACAGGTAATTAATTCCTCTCTAAGACTGCTGCGTGACTCTATCATGTGATAGCAAAATCAGGCCCACTTATTCCATTAATTTGCTCATGTAAGACCCTTGACCTTTATTTAATAATAATAATTGGGCCTAAAATTGAAAAGGTCTTGAGCCAGTATTGGACTGGTATGGGGTGCATGGGCGGAGTATGGGGCTTCCCCGTATTGCCTACTTCAATCTTCCTTCAACGTCTCGTCATTCATAAAAATACTCCAATATCCTGAAAATAAAACATAAAAAATCTCAAAGCACTATAATCCATCTAATAAATAAATAAGTCAAAAAATATAAATGTGCGATAAATTTAAGCATATAAAAATACGCTAATAAATATATAATATACACACTTTTTCCGACCAATCAGTATCAGGCATGAGAAGACTGTACCTGGAACCCCACAACATAATGGTGTGGTTGAAAGAATCAATAGAACCATTATGGAGAAAGTGAGGTGTATGTTAAGAATAGCTAAACTACCTAAGCCATTCTGGGGTGAAGCTGTTCTAACAGCGTGCTACCTGATCAACCGATCTCCATCTGTTCCTTTGGGCTTTGATATCTCTGAGAGAGTATGGTCCGGACATGATGTTAAATACTCTCATTTAAAGGTGTTTGGATGCAAAGTTTTTGCTCATGTAAGTAAGGAACAGAGACGAAAACTTGATGATAAAGCCATTCCTTATATATTTCTGGGCTATGGAGATAAGGAATTTGGCTACAGGTTATGGGATCCAGAAAATCGAAAAATTATCATAAGCAGAGATGTAGTGTTCCATGAGCAAGAAACTATGTCTGATTCTGCTTCACCAGAAACAAGAGAACCAAGTGGAAAGGTGGATCTTTCACCTGTCAAACCTCCTGGAGATGCCACAGCAAGGGGAGAGTGTGATGGAGAACTCAGGGTTGATGATGAGCCAGCAATAGAAGATGGTGATGGTGAAGGTGTCGAGCAAGAAAACCTCGAAGCTCCACCTCAGCTCAGGAGATCAAATCGAGCGATCCAACTGTCTATGAGATACCCTAGTTCCACGTATATTACCATCACTGAAGAAGGGGAGCCAGAAAGCTTTGAAGAAGTACAGACTCATAAGGATAAATCCCAGTGGATGAAAGCTACGCAAGAAGAAATGGATTCACTGGTAAAAAACGAAACTTATGAGCTTGTGAAGCTTCCGGAATGCAGAAAAGCCTTGAAGAATAAATGGGTGTTCAAGATTAAGAAAGATGGTGACAAGCTGTTGAAATACAAAGCTCGTTTAGTCGTGAAAGGATTTGGACAAAAGCGAGGAATAGATTTTGATGAGATATTCTCTCCGGTTGTGAAGATGAGCTCTATTCGAGTAGTACTCGGATTGGTGGCTAGTTGGATCTGGAGCTTGAACAACTAGATGTGAAGACTGCATTTCTTCATAGAGACCTAGATGAAGAAATCTACATGGAGCAACCAGAAGGATTTGAAAGGACCGAAAAGAAGCACATGGTTTGCAGATTGAAGAAGAGCTTGTATGGATTGAAACAAGATCCTAGACAGTGGTATAAGAAGTTTGGCTCGTTCATGGCGAGCCAATGGATATACCAAGACTGATGCAGATCATTGTGAGTTCGTTAAGGAATTTCCAGGTGATAGATTCATTATCCTTTTGTTATATGTAGATGATATGTTGATAGTGGGACAGGATATGAAGTTGATTGGTGATCTGAAGAAGGATTTAGCAAAGTCCTTTGAAATGAAGGATTTGGGCCCTGCGAAACAAATTTTGGGCATACAGATCATGCGAGACCGAAAATCCAAGAGGTTATGGTTATCGCAAGAATGGTATGTGAATTGGATTCTGGAGAGATTCAACATGAAATCGGTCAAACCGGTCAATACACCGTTAGCCAATCACTTCAAACTTAGCAAACGAAGTTGTCCTACGAGTCAAGAAGAGAAAGAAGCTATAGCGGGTGTGCCATACTCCTCGGCAGTCGGGAGTTTGATGTATGCCATGGTCTGTACTAGACCACATATCGCTCACGCGGTTGGAATTGTTAGCAGGTATCTTTCCAATCCTGGAAAGGATCATTGGGAAGCTGTGAAGTGGATCTTGAGGTACCTAAAAGGCAGTGCAATAAGTCCTTGAGCTTCGGCAAAGGAAACCCAGTTCTTGAAGGTTATACAGATGCGGATATGGCAGGTGACCTGGATAGTAGAAAATCTACTTCAGGTTTTGTGTTTACATTTGCAGGAGGAGCTGTATCTTGGCAATCTAAATTGCAGAAATCTGTTGCCTTGTCGACCACTGAAGCAGAGTATATTGCAATGACAGAAACAGGAAAAGAAATGCTTTGGTTGAAGTGGTTTCTTCAACAATTGGGAATGAAGCAGGAAAGGTACGATATCCATTGCGATAGTCAGAGCGCATTGGATTTAAGTAAGAATGCGATGTACCACTCTCGCACGAAGCACATTAATGTCAGATATCATTGGCTACGTCAAGCAGTGAAAGAACAACAGTTCAAGTTGGAAAAGATTCACACTGACGGAAATCCTACCGACATGATGACGAAAGTTGTTACAGGGGGAAAGCTTCAGCTTTGTGCCGAGTTAATCGGCATGGAATGCATGTGAAGATTGGCAGAATATTTCCCTTTGGCTGGAGGGGGAGAATTGTGGGGTCCAACTCAAAAGTAAACAAAAGAGTAAGGCCAAAATTTTTCACATGGTGGTTGAACAAAAACAAATTTTGGTGAGTTGCCCACATTTAAAGATAATAATAAAAAACAAAAGAATCAATTATGAATGCTGCAAAATAATGCTGAAGCCGCCCAAATTTTGCTGAATGTGTTGCATTCCCCACCTATAAATAGAGGCATTCAGCAGAGCGAAAGATGCACCAAGCGAGAAGAAAGAAAAAGAGAGAGCAGGAGAGTACAGAAATAATATTTCTGTGTGTTATTTTCAGTGAGATAAAAATAGAGTGTTTGAGTAAATCCTGTGCGTGTGGGAAAAATACACCGGGTTGGGTATCAACTCTATTACTCCTTGTTTAGGAGTGGGTTCTCACTGGGTCGCTATATTTACATTTCTAGTGTAAGGGGAGTGTGAAAAGATATTGTAATTATCTTGAAAATATAGTGGAATTATTCGGAGGTTGTCCCGTGGTTTTTTTCTCTATTTGGAGGTTTTTCCACGTTAAATCTTGGTGTCTTATTTCTTGTATATGTTATTTATTTGGGATATTCTTAGTATGCTCTGTGGTCGCAGTTTAATCTGAACTTCCACATCAGAAAAGAAATATTCATGTTTTATTGCAAGAGATTTTCTTTTGTCATTCTTGAGTTGCTGGGATTGGGATTATTGTTCACCATTTTACCTTGATATTTTAATTTACATCTTCCGCATTTGCGCATCTGAGCCCAATATATATATATAAAGCTACTTTTTTTTAAATGTAAAGCGTTCATTCATCATAACAATTGAAAACATCATTAATCAAAAGGAGAACTCACGTTTGATCAGTGTTGTTAAATGAAACGAGTCATTATAACAATTGAAAACATCATCAATCAAAAGGAGAACTCACGTTTGACTAGGTTTGTTAAACGAAACGAGACGCTCGTGAGTTTGAATAGACTTATCCTATTGGATCAAAGCATACCTTTTTCTTAGGGTGTATTTGGATCGAATCACTTGGGTTTATGGATTTAAATTTCCTGAATTCAGCTTACTACACATGTTTGAATGACAATCATGTATTTCAAATTCAACTTAAATTCCAAAATATTGATTTCAATTAAATTTTCAAACTTTGTGATTCTAAGTCGACTTCATCCGTTGAGCATTGCTGAGGACCGCCACGAACAACACAGTGGATTTACTATCGTTTCCACAAATCCACCCATATAAAAAATAAATAAAGAAATAGATAAATAAAAATTTAAAGCACATATTTTGATTTTGAGAACTGTTATAAGTACATAATACTATACATATAGTTGTACATAACACTCACATGATTAAGTGGGTCCAAATAGAAATAAGAAATCAAGTGGACCCCACTCCATGTGAGTGTTATGTACACCTTGAAATCATCATTTGATTTCAAATCACAATCCAAACAATAAACATAACCTTAGTTTTTTTTTTTTGTTTTTTTTTAAAGCAATCAAAACAATCGAAGACATCACTAACTAGAGAAAAACTCAATACTTGATTGAACTAAATCATGCGCAAGATGGGAATGGATAATCAATCAATTAGTCATTGTTTTTTTTTTTAACGGTAAAAGTCAATTTATAGATCAAAATTGGCGTTCGAACAACCAATAGCTGGCCTACAAAGCATAGTGGACAGCTACATGCACGACTCCTGATCACTCGCATGTTATAAGTCTAAGAAAGCAACCACATGTCAGTTACTCACTCTTTATGTTAATTTTGTAAATAAAGAAAAATAGTTTGGGAATCAAGAAAAAGTTCATACTTCCTTACTGCAAAAATGTTGAGATACAAAGCTTATATCTATCCTTACGCACATGATCTCGTAACTAACTCTCTTGATAGATGTCCGACACGTGGACGGCAAAGATGCCAAGAGAAAATAACAAAGCTAAAAAAAAATATATAAAAAAACGTGATAGGTGAGAGACGCTTTTTACACGCCCTCCTCAAGTTGGGCACATATGTGAATCGCACATGCCTAACTTGAGCACTTGATTTTTGAAAGCTGTAACACCCAACGGCTTTGTCAAGAGATCTGCGAGCTGTTCATGAGAATACACATGGCTCAGGTAAATGAATCCTTCTTTCACTTTGTTTCTGACAAGATGACAGTCAATATCTAGATGCTTTGTCCGTTCATGGAAGATAGGGTTTTCTGCAATGTGTATGGCCGCTTGGTTGTCGCACCATAGGGTGATGGGAGTTGGGTTAGGCATCAAAAATTCAATTCCTATGTTGTAGATCCACTGTAATTCACACACTGTACTTGCCAAAGCTCTATACTCTGCTTCGGCAGATGACCTAGAGACTGTGTTCTGTTTTTTTGTTTTCCAAGAAATGAGTGAAGTTCCAAGAAAAACACAGTACCCTGTGATGGATTTCCTTGTATTAGGACAAGTCCCCCAATCTGCATCACTGTAACCAATTAGGTTAAAGGTTGATTTTGCTGAGTAGAACAAACCCAATGATGGAGCCCCTTTCAGATATCTCACTATGTGTACTGCTGCTTCCCAATGAACCTGTGTAGGCTTGTTCATGAATTGGCTTAGTTGCTGGACTGCAAATGTTATGTCTGCCCTTGTGAAGTTTAGGTATAGCAGTTGTCCTATCAATCTCCTGAACTTCTCTGGCTCATCCATTGCTTTACCTTCTTCAGCCTTTAATTTAATTCCTGCAGGCAGTGGTGTTGAAGCTGGTTTACACCCTTTGAGCCCTGTTCTTTCCATAATATCCAATACATATTTCCTCTGGTTGAGATAAATTCCTTCCTCATTCCTTGCAATTTCAATTCCTAGGAAGTAGCTTGCAAATCCCAGGACTTTGATGGTGAAAGTTCTATCCAAAAAGGTCTTAAGAGCTTTCAAATCCTGTGGATGTGTTCCTGTGATGAGAACATCATCCACATACACCAATAGTGCCAAGAATCCATTCTCATTTGTTTTTGTAAAAAGGCAGTGATCACAAGATGATTGTGTTAGCCCATAATTGATCAGCTTCTTGCAAAATTCTGAGTTCCACTCCCTAGATGCTTGCTTTAGCCCATATAGGCTTTTCTTTAGGAGGCACACATTGCTTTGATTCCCTTTTGTATAACCATCAGGCAATGACATGTAGACTTCTTCTGTCAAACTTCCATGCAGAAATGCGTTGTTTATGTCCAACTGATGTAGCTCCTAGCCTTTCATTGCAGCTAGTGCAAACAACATCCTTACTGTCACAATTTTAGCCACAGGTGAGAAGCTGTCAGTGTAGTCAATACCTTTCACTTGATGATATCCCTTTGCAACTAGCCTCGCTTTGAACCTTTCAACACTTCCATCAGGGTTTCTCTTTATTTTGTAAACCCATTTCTATCCAATTGCCCTTTTTCCTTGGGGCAATGTTGTGATTTCCCAAGTGTTATTGGATTCAAGTGCTTTCAGTTCCTTTCTCATAGCTTCTACCCACCTCTGATCCTTTTCTGCCTCTTTATAATCCATTGGCTCTCTTTCTTTGTCTATCTCAGCTAAGAAAGAGATATATTCCTCCCTGAACTTTGGTGATTTCTGATAAGGATAGGTCTTGAGTGGGTATGCTGTGTGTGATTTCCTTTGTTTTTCTTTACAATTTGGTTCCTCAACTTCCTTTTCTGCTGCTGAATTAACCACAAAGTCCTTCAGCCATGAAGGTTGATGACTGGTTCTTGCTCTCTTTCTCAAGGCAAGTGGTGGAGATTGACCTTCTTCTTCTGTTGTTTCTGAGTTTTGGTTTGGACTTAACTCCACAGTGTCAATTTGTTGTTCCTTTTCTGTGATCTGTATGTCTCCTGGGTAAGGCTCATTTGCTGGTAGAGGCACATCACTTTCTTGTGTCTTCTTCTCTTGATAAGGGAAGATATCCTCAAAGAACACCACATCTCTGGAAATTAGAGTTTTGTGATGTTCAATATCATAGAGTCTGTAACCCTTTTGCCCTGCAACATAGCCAATGAAGATGAATTTGTTTGCTCTTTCTGTGAACTTGTCCTTTGCTGGATGAACATTGGTAGCATACACCAGACATCCCAAAACTTTCAACCTTTCAAGATCTGGTTCTGTCCCATACAAGATTTCAAATGGTGTTTTCCAACCTAGGACTGAGCTTGGCAGCCTGTTTATTATGTGAGTGGCTGTCAGAATGGAGTATGGCCACAGTTCTGTTGGTACATTTGATTGAAACATTAATGCCCTTGCCACTTCCAGCATGTGTTTGTGCTTCCTTTCTACCACCCCATTTTGTTGGGGTGTGTATGGGCATGTTCTTTGGTGTACAACCCCATGCTCTTGCAGTAACTTTTGGCATTCTTGTCCTGTGAACTCTGTCCCATTGTCACTCCTCATCACCTTGACTTTTATGCTGAATTGTGTGTTCACCATGTGTAGAAAATTCTTTAGTATTTCTGTGGCTTGACTCTTCTGGGATAGTGTGTAAGTCCAAGTTGCCCTACTGTAATCATCCACTATATTAAGCAGGTAGGGTGTGTTTAGAATGCTTTCTCCTCTGTATGGCCCCCCATATATCCACATGAATCATTTCAAGGATGCCCTTTTAATCTATTTTGCTCCTTGGGAACATCACCCTTGGTTGTCTGGCTTTGTGACAGACTTCACAAGTTTTTAGCTGTTTCTCCATGTGCTCTGAGTAGCTTTGGTTTAGAGATTTTAGGTGCTTCATTAAAGCTATTGGACTGTGTCCAAGCCTCTGATGCCACAGCTGGTATTTCTCTTTGCTGCGGTGAAGGCATGCTTCATCATGTGACATGAGTGAGGTGGGCTGGTCTCCCTCTGCCTTTACTGATTTTTGCTCCAAGGTATACAACCTGTTTCTTGCCTCCCCCATGAGCAATGTTTCACCATTCTGTACCCCTTGTATCATGCAACAATTTTGTTC